TGCATCCTAGCACATTTAGGTTAATTGAGTGGTCCTATGACTTTGGGGTTGACCACCCTTAAGTTTTTCGACGTGTAGAATCCATTTTTGGGGTTAGATCTTGCAAATTCTAAGTCTAAGATGATGATCAACAACTAAAAGTTCTAAGAGAATCCAATGGGAGATCAACAGTGAGATCGCGTTCAATTAATGTGAAATTTCAGCAAGACAATCATGGAGCCAGGACGGTCATATCTTACAATTAGAATCATAAATCAAATTCGGACGATGAATCATTATCAACCTAACATAGTAAGAAAACCCTCTCAACCCTCTTAATTTTTTTGTATTTGAAATTTTCAAATTATATACATATGATAAAATGTCTAAAGTTGTAGATAGAATTTTATTTATAATTGTATGAAAATTTATGATGGTATATCAAATATTGGCAGTCTGAAAATCATGATAATATTGTGGAATTTGGACTTGCATGTATAGTTTATGCCATTAAAAAGATTATTGAAGATGTTATTTGGCCCTTTAAATCTGCCAGAAAGTTGTACGAATTTTTAGACAATTTTATACTCCAAATTTGAAGATGATTTCTTCTACAAAGTTGTTGATAATGATGTCTAGTTCATCCACAAATTTTTTCAACAATTATTGAGTTTTGTACGAATTTTTACAGATTTTTAACCAAATCTGGAGTTATAGGCAGATTTTATTATGTGTTTGAAAAATCATTAAAAAAATTATATTAAACTAAATCTGATAATTTATAAGCAAAAAATGAAATTTGAGAAGTCTAGTTTCATAATAAATTTTTAGATCATGGAATTGATTTATAATTTTAAGTATGGAATTAATTTAAGAAAATGTGATAAATCTGTGTCATAAACACTCTTGGAATTTTTAAGAATTATTTATAATTTATTTTCAAAAATGCTTTCTGAAAAATGACCATAACCTGTTTATTGAGTATTCTGTAGATTTACATGAAATTTAGAGTTTTATAAGTAATTTATTTATAATTTTATTTGCAAGATATATATTCTGAAAATTTTGACGGATTAAGGAGGAATAAAAAATTATCTCTTCAATTGTTTATTTATAACTTATTTTTGGGAAATTCTTTCTGAAAAATGACCTAAACATATTTATTGAATATTCTGCACATTTTCACGAATTTTAGAACTGTATAAATAATTTATTTATAATTTTTATTACCTAAGGTATAACCTGAAAATTTCTGGACAGATTTAAGATTATCACTTCAATTATTTATTTCGATAAAAATCAGTTATTGTGTTGGTCTAATTCATCAAATATTATAAATTAGTAATCCATGTATGGGTGTATTGTGGTTTACTTAATATTGTGCTAGTCTAATCTTGTAGATTAAAAGTCCATGCATGTGTGTAATTATGATTTATTTCTTTTTTTTTGGTATCTAAATTATTATTTCATACCATGGTTTAAATAAATTGTTTATTTAAATTTTGTACAATTGTTATTATTGTGTGACATGTGTAATATTTTATGTTCGGATTTTAATGAGTTGGTATAACATTATTGGTAATTAAATGTTGAATTATTGTGAATATCTCAACGAGTAAAGAGACACGAAATTTAACCAATGATACATTAAAATGTAAAAGTGATGGGGTGAGCCCGGTCTAGAATCTTGCGCAAGTGAGTTGCGAACCCTAACATGGCACGGGAAGGTATTTCGGTTCTTATCCGGTGTAGGCCGATATAAGGTTGGGCGTGCGGTGTCACAACATTTAGACCGTTGGGGCAGACCGTGATGTCACGACTCGGGTACATAACCCTGGTGCGTGGGCATCATTGGTAGTTACTGTAAGTAACATTTGAATATTTGACCAAGGGGGAGTCAGAATTGCCCGTGGCCATTGCTTAGCGGTTGAATGGAAATAGTGCTCCGCGGGGAGTTACTTAAACTTATCTGATAAACTACATCTATGAAAATTTAAAAAGAAAAGTGGGCATTTTCCTTATGATGAAATACTGTCTCTGTTTGTCATTTTTATTTATTTATTATCTATTGTTATTATTTCAACTGATGGCATTCCTATTACGCTTATTAAATGCTACCTGTTATTCTGTTACTACGCATTATTCATTGTGGGTATTATTATCGGGGTGGCTATTTCGGGTTGTAGTATCTTATTGAGCTCGTCGCTCATTGGCATCCTCGTTGCCCTGGCGTTTCATGCTAGGTACCAAAGAAACCGAAGGAAACACCGAGGTGTTGGAAAGCAACATTCAACCCTGATTAGCTTGAAGCGTGCCAAAGTTCCACGAACCATTTTTCTGAGTTTTCTAGTTTTTCTCTAGTTTTTTTATTTTTTATTTGTGTACTAAGACAAAGTTTTAAGTTTGACTGGAGTTGTAATTTAAGAACTTTTAGTTTTGGTGTTGTTATTTAATGGATGATGGTAAATTTGGTGGCAACATTGATGAGGATTCTTAATTAAGAAAATTGATTTTAAGTTTTAAATCTTATTATGATGTCCCCAAATTTTGGGGCGTCACAGTGTGTGTTTGATTTGTGCGAAAATTGATTTTGTGTTGGTGTGTGTTTGATTTGTGCGAAAATTGGATGTGTGTATATATATATATATATATCTATTTTAGATGATGCCAAACAAGGGCTTAATGTTCTTATCACTAAGCACAAACCATAGCAACAAGAAGAAACATTCACAAAAACACTAAACTTTCATCTATTGTTGGTGCTTACACCACTTCCGCATGTCCACTTGCTTGATGTCTCCTTGGATTCACTTGTTATTTATTTTGCATTAGTGATTTATTTATTAAGAATCCTTTCACCACGGTGTGTTCATTCAAAAGATTTATGGTGGAATCTCCCCTGCACCTAAGGATAACCTTTGGGTATACCTGTTACTCTCTTTCAATCTTAGATGATTCCTTAATGATATCTTGCATCATGGTTGTAGTTTATAATTGGACAAGTGAAAATTTTCTTGGGAATTCAATCATTCAAGATGTGTTTTAGATATATATCAATATGGAAAAATTACTTATAAAAAAAATGACTTGTTGAAGTCGTTGAGAGTCATTGGCTCTAGAAGAGTGAGTTTTAAAAAAAAAAAATTGACAAAAAAAATTCTAAATTATCTCATGGTAAATAGCTTTTGGGAAGGTTGATTTTCTTTAGTACTAGTTAAGTCAGGCAACCGAAAGATAGACAGGATTGCCAAATTTATGATAGGTTCTATAGGCCTAAACTATGCTAAAGGGCCCTCTTGGTGGGAGATAATGTGAGAATGTATCGTATATATTATTGAAATATATTGTATAGAGTAATGTTAGGGTTAGGGATACAAAATTTTCTACCAAATGAATGACCAAATGTCTCACATGGGTGTGAGGTCTACTTTTTTGTGGGTCCTACACCCATGTGAGATATTTGGTCATTCATTTGGTAGAAAATTTGGGACTTATAGCATTTTCCTTGTGTATATATTAGAGCATCTCCAATGTACTAGGCATATAATACTTGTTAGTTAAAATGCCTAGTGTGATTCACTTTTTTCAATTCCAATGCACTAGGCATATGATTAGGCATTTTGGCTCAACTCATATTCACTAGCTACATGTAGCTAGCCTTCAACGCTAGGCAAAATGTATTCAATCATTAGGATCATTTCCCTCCATCTTTGTTGTTGACGTGGCATTCTATAAAATTAATAGTATTTGGATAAATAGCTAAAATAAAGAGCATGGTTGGAGTAAAAACATAAAACAGTTGATAGGCAAAATAAAATATATACTTTATAGTAATATTTGGATAGGTAAAATGCCTACTACCGTTGGAGATGCTCTTATAGATTTGATATAATCACAACCATACCTAATATATACACAATGTATTTGCTAGAAGGTTGATTTTTTGGGAAATATATACACAATGTATTTGTGGTGAGTATATTTGATGAATGCAGCAGTACTCTGTGCTTGTAGAATCACCTGATGAACTAAATAAACCAAACTTGATGGGTTACTTCCAGTTTTGATATCAATAATATGCTCTCTGTAATGAATTAAATCCAAAGGAAATATAAGTTACAACTTTAAGTTGGCTAACATCAGTTAAAGTATATGAGTAGGACATATGAATAGTAGTTGTCTAGTATTTGTTGTGCCTGATATAATTTCTCAAACAAAATATTGAGGAACATGTCTTGGTATTGCAAAGCATGGTAAAAACTAAAAGATATCATTGTAACACCTATCATTTCGATTCCTAGATAGCTTGCAATTTTTTTTGGAAAGAATAGGGTGATGGAGAAGTATGAAAACCTCTTTTTTCTTTCAATTTATTGATTTATTTTTTGGCAAAGGAAGAAACCAGAAGCAATTAACAACCATTTTTGAAAATCACTTTTTTTTATCATCCCACCCACCAAGTTAAGCAAATAAAATAAAACAGATACTATTACTGTACCATGAGTCATGTAGTGATGACTTCCAAAAGGTAGACATTACTACATTTGTAGTGTAATGTGAGGTTAGAAGTGATAATTACCAATGAAATGAAAGAATGCAAGCTAATTAATGTCATTTAATCATGATATTTATTCAAAGCAAGCTCCATTTTCAATTCAAAAGGAAGTAATAACATTCATATTTATTTCTAATCGAAACAAATATAAAGAGAGTATTTTGGCAACCAAATGTAAAAGAAAAAATTGGGCTATCTCCTAGAAATCTGTTTTTACATGATTAGTCTTAAAAATAATACATTTTATTAGATGTCTAGTTGTTAAAAGAAAATTTCACACACATTTAGAAAACCTGAAGTTCGAATAGTTTGATATACAAAAGACTATCCCTATCATACCACATTCTAATTTAGTTCCTTGTATATGGGTCTGTAGGCTGCAACATAATCTGATATCAGTTTTTGGCTGTATCACTGAGCAACTGATATATATATATATATATATTATTTTTTCTACTGGCTTCTTATGATCAAATTATTTTCTTTTGTTTTGCAGCTGCGTCAAGAAAACAACTTACATAAATCTTCAGTGATGGTTACTGCAGGGGCAAATCAGGTGACCATGCCTACTGTCTATTTGTTTTTTTATTTTGACCTAGTAAAAATAACAAATGTGTCTGGTCAATTTGTGCTCTCAATGTTGGTTTTTAATTTACGTGGGAACATGTTGAGGAGTGAGAAGGCCAACATAAAGCCGTCATTGCCTCATTATGCATATGTGCTGGCTTTTACACTTGTTTTGGTTTCTCGTAGTCACTATTTTCAGATGCATTTTTATCTTATTGGTGTCCTTCTTGCTAAGTTTTAGGAAACCATATTTATTTAAATTCGCAATAAGGTCATTGCCCTTTAAAACAGAAAATTGTGACCTTTTGAGTAGTATGCACATTGGGTGTTTATGAGTCATAATTTCCCTAAGAACAAGCAGATAAATATGCCTAAGGTTGCCACGTTTTCCTTCTGGTGTTTATAGTCTTATTCTGATTGGTAATATCTGGCATGACGATGTATGGAAGATCACAAAATGTTTACATGCTTGCATACTATGCAATATTCTTTCTTTACACATTGCAATGTTGCATTCTGTTTTCTTTTGTTAATTTTCTTGATTAAAAAATAGATTTCCATACTTACCAAAAAAATTGAAAAAAAGAAAAGAAAGAAAAGTTCCACATATGTCTAATGCGATGGCCTTCCTTGCCTTCATTTAAAAGTCTGTTTTGATACTTAAATGTTCAGTGTTTGCTTAGTATAGGATGAATATTAATCTTATGAAGTTTTTCAAAGTTTAAAACAGAGAAGCTTTCACCCATCCATCCTTCATAAATTCTAAAAAAAGCTTTTACCCATTCTGATTACAGGCATTTGTGAATTTAGTTCTCACATTGTGTGATGCTGGGGATTCTGTAGTTATGTTTGCACCATACTACTTCAATGTGTACATGTCATTCCAGATGACAGGTGTTACTAACATTCTGGTGGGTCCTGGTAATCCAAAGACACTTCATCCCGATGCAGGTATGAAGTTTGCATTGTGCATGACCTGAAAAATATCATAGTTCTTTTTCCTTGTCAATTTCTCAAGGAATCTTGTTGAGTATTCTGTGCCAGATTCTTGCTGAACAACATAAATTGTATGTATAAAAATATAATTTTGTTATTTGATGGAAGTGTTTCTGCAACGTACATTATGATTGATGAATTATGTTTATATTTAGAATTGGGCACTTTCCTGAATTGATTAATTGCCTTAAGCCTGTGGTTTCATCTGGTGGTGGCTAGAGCAGGCTGGTGACTTTTAAAATGCTTATGGAAGCCCATTTTAATTACTATAGTATCGTGGACCCAAAGACTAGTAGAAAAAAATGAAATGCTAATATCTTGAATTTAATTTGTTTTCAATTTTGATGGAAAACTGGGTTGGTGATTTTCCATTACTTGAATATCTTGTATTTCATTTTTCTTTTTATTTGAATCATCCCCTCCTATAAAAGTTTTTCTCTTTTCATCTTTTACAATGGTTTTTGATATACTAGTGTATCTATGGTGAAGTATTAAAGCCCTTAACTCTCTGTTGTAAGAGAGTATTGGAGAAATAATTTTTATTCGATTTAATTAAGGTACAGAGCATATCAAACAAAACATCACATAGTTTTTTGTTGTTCATTTATCAGATATTTTGCTTTTCAGACTGGCTAGAAAAGACTTTGCGGGAAACTAAACCAACCCCAAAGCTTGTTTACTGTCGTTAATCCTGGAAACCCATCCGGAACTTACATTCCACTGCCTCTTCTCAAGGTCTCTCTCTTTCTCTCTCTGTGCATATATGTAAACATTTTTTTTTTGATAAGTACATAAATGCATACATAAACATACACGCGCACACTCATTATTGGAATCAGGACCAATCTTGAAGCACGTACCAAAACAAACAAAAAAAAAGAGCCATCTTGATGCTTGTTGCTAACTGAGTTGAGCAAACTATTTTTCTCTGCTTGTCTTAAAATTTTTTATTGAATCCCTAACTTGGTGTTTTATTTTCTTTTTTTTTTTGAGTAGAGGATTTCAGATCTCTGTAGGGATGCAGGATGTTGGCTTGTTGTAGATAGTACATATGAGTAAGTATATTTTTTCTTATTTCTGAACACTTGCTATTATTCTGCTTTCTAATGTAAATCGTTTTACCTTGTTTAATGATATTGCTAATTTTTTTAATAACAAAAAGATGTTGAATTCATGAGTTAAATATGAAATGTATATATCTATTGTGAATGTGATTATTTCATCAAGGACGAGTGCATAATAGAGCTTGTTGCCGATTTCATGTTATAAATACAATAGTGCTGGAGCTTATTATTGGTTTGTGTTATAGATACAAGGGTGCAAGTTTCTAATTCATTCCCCTGAGCTTTTATTGTAACATAATTCATCATAGCTTTGAACTTCCAATGTGGCATCAGGGCATGACTTAATGTAGAAGTACTACCGTTGGCTTGTAATAATAAATTTTGTAATTATAATGTAAAAATGATTAGAAATTTTTTTTTGTCTATTAATAGAAAAGAAAAAAAAAAAATCAACATGAGGTGAGGACTGTAGAATAAGGGACATGCAAGAAATTTTTTTGGGGGGTGAGAGGAAAGAACCTTAGCAAAAAAAGAGACACAATAATAGTTTTAAATATCAGCCGAGAGAAGAATCCTTTTGTTTTGAAGGGGACAACATAAAATAGTAGTTTTAGATGTGTTTCAAAATTACTATTTTTTTGTACAACTATATATGGATGTGGTGTTAGAATAGATTGTCTGGAATAATTTTCCTGAATCTCATGCCATTATGCATAACCTTGTAGACTTTACCCTGCTAAAGTTTGAAATAAGCACTGGAATAATTTTCCTGAATCTCATGTCACTATGCATAACCTTTTAGGCTTTTACTCCAGTAGAGTTTGAAAGTCTTCTTCTTCTTTTTCTTTTTCTTCTTCTTCTTCTTCTTCTTCTTCTTCTTCTCTTCTCTCTCTCTCTCTCTCTCTGCGGATGCTGCTTCTCTGCCATTTTGTGTAGTCCCCGGTCATTATGTACACAATGGTTTGACATCACTGATCTCAGGCCAAAAAATAAATAGAAGATCTAGCACAGTTACTATGTCTCATGCTACCAATTCATCATATCATGTACATAATAAATTATTCAAGAAATGGGAAGTTTGCAACTGGAGTATATCTAATAATCATCATGCATTTTGCATTTAAAATATAAAAGTTCAAACACTAAAAATGACTTGTTACTTACGAAAAGGGGGATAAAAAATGGATTGTTGGTTGGGTACTCTTTTATCATTCTGTTGCACTTTAAAGGTTATTTGCTATTAATTCTACTGTTTGCTCAGTTTTCTAGAATATGACTTGGTTATATTTTCATTTGTTCCTGGGAAGAATACAGAGGTATTTAGGAGTATTAAGAATTACATGTGCAGGTACTTTATGTATGATGGCCTCAAACACTCGTGCATGGAGGGCAATCACATAGTCAACATTTTTTCGTTTTCTAAAGCTTATGGAATGATGGGATGGCGAGTTGGATATGTGAGTAATGCTTACTGTTTCTTATGTTTTTTATATTGATCAAGAAATCAAATTGTTTCGATTAGAAATAAATATGAATGTTATTACTTCCTTTTGAATTGAAAATGGAGCTTGCTTTTAATAAATATCATGATTAAATGACATTAATTAGCTTGCATTCTTTCATTTCATTGGTGATTATCACTTCTAACCTCACATTACACTACTAATGTAGTAATGTCTACCTTTTGGAAGTCATCACTACATGACTTATGGTACAGTAACAGTATCTGTTTTATTTTATCTGCTTAACTTGGTGGGTGGGATGATAAAAAAAGTAGTTTTCAAAAATGGTTGTTAATTGCTTCTGGTTTCTTCCTTTGCCAAAAAACAAATCAATAAATTGAAAGAAAAAAGAGGCTTTCATACTTCTCCATCATCCTATTCTTTCCAAAAAAATTTGCAAGCCATCTAGGAATCTAAATGACAGGTGTTACAATCATATCTTTTAGTTTTTACCATGCTTTGCAATACTGTCCAAAACTTCTTCTTTACGAACTCTTTTTGTGTTTATTCGATTATTGTTAGATTATAGCTCAACCTGTACAATCATTGCTTGTTTTTAATAGTATTATCATCATTGTAGGATGTAATTAAAGTTTCTTTGGAAAGTTTTGTAATACCAAGAGTCCAATTGGCGGAGGGATAGTGTTGATCCATTGTGTGAAATTGATGGAGTTCCAATTGGGTCTGAATATTGCAAAGTTTTTGTTTTAAAAGCAAACAAGCCGAACGCTGTTTTGGAAACAACATCCCGATGTTTAAGAACAGTTGGAGAAGCTGTGGGAAGATACATTGTGTGGCGCTCAATTCATGTATATGTTACAATCTTATTTATTTATTTACTGAAATAAATATAAAATGTTTTACATTTTCTGTAAGCTTGAAATTAATTATACTGTAAATGATTTTTTTTTGATTTTTTTTTATAGGTGCAACCCTTTTGAGTACGTGATGATATCTTCACATATTGATATTAGAGTTTACAATCTTATTTATTTATTTATTTTTTGAAAAAAATGTCAAATTTTTTACATTTTCTATAAGCTTGAAAATAATTATGTTGTAAATGATGATTTTTTTTCTTTTTGTTTCTTTTTGCAGATGCAAACCTTTTGAGTATGTGATATTTTTGCATATCGATATGGGAGCTTACTATTGATATCAAAACAAGCTACACTATATCTGTTTTTATTTTTTTATTTCTATTGTCAATACTAAAAATTTGAGTTCTTGAATATAAAAAATTATTAGTATTGTTAGAGGTCATTTTATATATTTTTGTAGAGAATATTTGGTTAACAATTGTTAGAAGGTACATATATTATTCTTGGTATATGATTTTTTGAATGTGAATTTGGATGTGGGATGTGGATATGGATGTGGATGTGGATGGATTTTAGAAAATATTAATAATTTGTATAGGGAATATTTAATAAAATATGATTTTATAAAAAATAATTTTATTGCGACAATAATAAACCGTCGCTAATGTAATTCTCATTTCCTTATATATTATTAGCGACGGGTTAACCTGTTGCATATACATATTAGTTCCAATCTTTTGCGACGGTTTCAACTGTCGCAAATAAATCTTTTGCAACGGTTTAAACTGTTGCCAATATGGTATTAACTTAATACTACTTTTTTGGCGACGTTTTAGACCGTTGCTAATAATACTTTTGCGACGGCAAATACCGTCACTAAAAAAGGTTTTTTTGCAACGGCAATCAACATCGTCACTAAAAATGTCGTTTTTTCCCCTTTTTTTGTGTCAGGCGAAACCGTTGCAAAAACTATTGATTAGCCGTCAATATAAGAAAGCGACGGTAACCGTCGCAAATACTTTTTGTCACGCCCTTTTCCGCCACCCCCTATTTTTCATCGCTGCTTCGTTGCAAAATGTCTATTGCGACGATATATGGACCTATTGCGACGTTTGACACCGTCGCAAAAAGTCCAATTTTTAGTAGTGTGTGACTCACATATTTTAAATTTTAGAAACATTTTTAAAATACGACATTGCTTTACAAACAATAATAATACCATAAGTATATTTTGTTTGCAAACTTACTTGCTACACTCGTTTTTATTAATACAATACTGTCATATGTATTAATAGAATGAGTCTTACATAAATTCTATTAATATTAACATCACATGAAATAATAATACATAAATTGTGATTAAAATTTTAATATTATTTTGATATAAATAATATGGTGCTTTTTGTTGTCTCATGTTCATAAAAAACACTACAGTTTTGGGTAAATTAAACTACCTCCCTTGAAGTTGAGAGAAAATATAGTTATATTTTTTGATATAATTATAATAACTTTTTTAATATTTTAATTTACATAATAGTTAAGTCATTTTTAATTCGTATGTAATTTGTGAGTTAGATAAATAAAAAATGACTTTATCATCTATTTTGAACTAAAATATAAAATTGTTTTTATTTATTTAAGTGTTTATCATGTATCTGTATTAATTTAAGTGTATTTAGGCATACTAAAAATAATTAATGTAATAATATAAAAATATGAAATTAATTTTTTTTTTTTTTTTGTTTTGTTTGAAAGAGTCAAGAGTGTAATTTTTTTATGAAAAATGTTAGAGACCTCAAATAATCTATTAAATTTTTTTACTAAACTTTTTACATGATATGTGATCCACACAAATTTACATGTGTATCGTCTCATATTCATATGAAAGATTTATTAAAAAATTTGATAAATTATTTGAGTCCCCGCCTAAATTTTTATTTATTTTTTATTTTATGTACTTTTTATAAATGATGATAGAACTGTCCCTTTCAATTGAATTAGTTGTCAAAAGTGTAAAGAGTTTTATTATAATCACGCATAAGGGGTGTTTGGGAAGTTTGTTTGTTTGTTTATTTTTTTTTTTCACTAAAAGATAAATTGGTTACAAAATTTAAAAAAATTAATTCAAACAAAATATCACATCAAACCCCATAATCATTTCACTTTTTCTCTTAAAAATATCACATTCAACCACAAAAAAAACCTAATTATCTTCCTAAACACAAAAAAAAAAATTCTTCAATAATATCCTCCAACTAAAAAAACTATAAAAAAAAATTACTTCCCAAACACCCACATAGACTTTTGAGAAGTAATTTTGTTTAATTATTAATTTCGTTCGAGTATAGATTATTTTAATATTTTTTTTAATTTTTTATGAAAAGACTTACAGAAAATTAGAGAGAATAATGCGACAAGTTATAGGATTATTTTGAGAAGATAATTAAAAGTCATCTTTTAATTTTTAACTCTTTTTAAGTCACATTATCTCTCATATTCTTTACACGTTGCTTTTAAAAAAAACCAAAAAAAGTATTAAAAAAAAAAACTAACTTTTAATCATCTTTTCAAAATAACTCATAGTGACTTTTTGATTTTTTAACTACAGAATAATGTTAGAGATTTCAAAAATTCTATAAAAAATTCTACTAAATGTCTCACCTGGTGTGAGACCCACACAATATGAGTTCCATATTTATGTGAGATATTTAGTAGAATTTTTATTGATTAAAATATATAATTGATAAATAAAATTTTATTAATTTTTTTAAAAAAATATATAAAAAATAAAAAATTACATAATTTAAATAAGTTAATAAATTAATTTTTTTTAGATGGGTCAACATTGGCCATAATACAAAATGTAAAGTTGTTTTTTATCTGACAACTTTTTTTATTAAAAACACACAATTACAATTCTGACACACAGTCACAGATCAAAATATAATTAATTGGTAGCAATGATGGAGATAAACAATGATGTTAAAGTTGTTTATTTTGGGAAGTAAAATAGAGGGATTTATAATAGACGGATTAATAATGGAAGAATTAAGTAAAACTATATTTATTTGGATGATAGTTATTAATGTAGGTATTGTTAAATTATTTTTATATAAAATAATTAAACAAATAAAAAAATATAAAAAATTAAACATTAATGTTCAAAAAAATGTCCAACATGTAAAAAATATAAAATAAAATAAAAAAACAAAACAATGATTTTTACTTAATAAAAAAATAAAATGAAACATTAATGTTAAAAAAAAAATTTCCCAACATGTAAAAAATAAAATTTAAATTAAAAAAAATAGTTTGGCGGACTATTTTGTAATACCAAGTCCCAAGCCTCTATCTTAATCTCTTCCCCAAGGCCCATCATAATCTGAAGGGTATTATGCATTTCCTCTCTATCTCCCAAAACAAACATAACATTAGTGAATCTCACCTCCATCTCAATCTCAACTCCTCCTCTATCTCTCAAAACAAACGAAACCTAAGAGAGAGGAAGTTGAGAGAATGGTGAGAGAGTTGCTAGGTGTGGAAAGAGAAGGAAAGAGATGAAGAGAATGGTCATAGAGTGGAAGAAGTTGTGTGAAGAGGCTACCCCTAGTTCTGTTGGGTGAGAGGTCATTTAGGAGCATCTAACTCATAATTATTATGAATTTGTTTGGTTTGTGTTTTTCAAAAAATTTTGGGAAAAATTCTCTACAAATAAATTTTCAAAAGTAATCAAATTAAACAAATTTTCTCAAATTTTTTTTTCAAAACTTGTTTGGTTTACAAGTTTTAAAAACAAATCTCTCTTTCATACACATCAAATCAATCACTTTTTCCAAAACTCTCTTTCGAAATAATTTTTCAAAACATCTTTTGAAAAAAAACTAAACCAAACAAATTTTCGTACTTTTTATCTTAAAACATGTTTCTCAAATACAAACCAAACAAGCCCTATATATATATATTTTTTATTATAAAAAGTCAAAAAAGTTAAAAGTCCTTCATAAACTAGAATTTTTAGCCCCAGGTTAAAATAGTTAAAAAATCAAAAACTTAACCCACTTCCCAAACGAAACCATAAAAAGTCAAAAAAGTTTTTCAAAACTTGTTTGGTTTACAAGTTTTAAAAACAAATCTCTCTTTCATACACATCAAATCAATCACTTTTTCCAAAACTCTCTCTCAAAATAATTTTTCAAAACATCTTTTGAAAAAAAACCAAACCAAACAAATTTTCGTACTTTTTATCTTAAAACATGTTTCTCAAATACAAACCAAACAAGCCCTATATATTTTTTTTATTATTATAAAAAGTCAAAAAAGTTAAAAGTCCTTCATAAACTAGAATTTTTAGCCCCAGATTAAAATAGTCAAAAAATCAAAAACTTAACCCACTTCCCAAACGAAACCATAAAAAGTCAAAAAAGTTAAAAAAGTAAAAAAATTAACTTTTAACCATCTTTTTAAAACACTTCTTAAGTAGACTTTTGAAAAATTGGTCATGTCTGTGCTCATGTCTACGGAGTCAAATCAAACCTTTTTTAAAAAAAAAAAAAAGTTGAGAGCACTAAAAATGATGCTCTAATGTGCTCTAATAGTACCACTAATGATGTGGGCCCTTTTTTTTTTTTTGACATTCTCAATGCATTAGTTCTATTAGTGATCTTTTTTTTTAGTAGTATAAATCATTATTTTTTTTTTGTTTTGTGACAAACAACCACAATATATTAAATATTTAACTTAGTAATGTCAGCTGTGAGATAATGAGTTGGTTGGATTACATATATTCCCACTAGGAATGTAAAAATGACCGGGATGGGCCCGATCCGATTAGGTTCGATCCCGAGCTCAATCCGAAATCCTGAGTGATCATTTTGAAGCCCCGCTTGTGGGTCCGGCCTACCTAGGCTGGCCCGTGGCTCAGCTCATCGACTCACACAAGGCCCAATCAAGACTCGGCTTGAGGCCCGCCCTGCCACAGACCTAGTGTCATTTTTACCGAAAACAATAAAATTTTGGTTAAAAAAATAGAAAAAAAATGTTCAAATCCTACCCAAGCCCTTTGGCCCGCCCAAGATCCAAATACCCTCTAGGCCTAGGCTTACGTCTGGGCCTAATTTTCTAGCCCGAAT